TCTGTACTCCAGAGGGTCGATGTCCCACAGCTGTGTAGTTGTGCATGCACCCAGAACACTCTCACTTTTATATACTGTCTCCCACAAACAGCTGCTGAGAACAGACTAAGAAGCTTGAAAGTAGCACTTTTCCCCTCTTAAACATAGTTACTATCCTCCCTTCTCTGTCATTCAACATTTCTCCTGCTCTGGTTGAGTCAGAGGTCCCTGTGATGCAACCTGGTGTATCCCTTCCCCAGGAATCCAGGGAGAAGGATCTCACAGAGCCTCACAAGAGGAATTAATTACACCTTTTTAAAGAATGAAGTTTTCTCCCACTTGCCAGTATCTTTATTTCCACCCAGTTATTCCCTATTGTTGGCTCTTGCAGTCAACATCACCATTGCTATAAAATTAATTCAAAGTGTATTTTTCATTTAGAGGCCAAATTTAAGTGATATTGTTATTGAACTATGCAATTTCACATTTTTCTCACTCTGCTTTACTTTTTCCCCTTTAATTTCTCTGCCTGAATCACCTTTTGCTATTCAAACTTGAAAGGCCTAATTCAAGTTAACTTTTGCCAGTTCTGTACTTTGCAATCTCAGAGCTGTCTTCACTGACAGGTTCTTTTTTTTTTTTCCATTTCTCATATCTGCAGTTACTCTCAGTCTCCTTTCTGATGTGATTATTCAGTCAGTTTGATCTGGAACTCCCTCATGAAATTTTCCCCTTTGACTGGAGTGCACATTTCACACAGTCTTTGCATCTTTGAGTTAAGAGAACTTCCAGCCAGCTTTGCCTTCAATACCCCAAGCTCTCCAGCCCAACTGACTTCAGTAACCAGCCTGGCAGTGTGCCTGTTTGAAATGAAGCACCTGTGGGCAGCATAGTCACCAAAAAAGGCTTGGTTATGTCAGCAAAACACTGTGCTTCGGCTAACACTTTTTCTGCTAACCACTTTTTTTCAGCAGAAAAATTAACCTGTGCAGAAACTCCTTACTAATACATTGTGTTACTACTACTCATTCTGTTACTTACTTTTGTCTTCCTCTGCACTGTGCTGGGATGACACACTCTTAGTTTCAGACTTATGCCTCCATTTAATATAAATAAATTTAGTCTGCTGTTGTTCAGCCAGGATTCCTTTCTAGAACCTCAGTATTTACCAAAGCAAAGTCTAAAATAAGCCCCATTTTATTGATTTAGTGACTACTTGGTGATAAATGATCTGTGTTCCTAATTCAGAGTGCATAATTGTCACTTGGGAAGCATTTGTTTCCCAAGCTATATTTAAGAAACTAAAGGCCCACAGATCCCTGGGGATCTCTTTATTCACATCCAAACTCAATATTCCTCTCTAACCCAACTTTTCTTTCTCTGCCTTGCTATGATACTCAGTCAGAGAACACTGTCAGAGGGTTCACTCAAATTTAAGAGTAGAGTGCCCATGAGAATGATGTATCACCTCAGGCATACAATACAATTTAAGAAATGTGCTCTAGTCTCATTGGAATAAATGAAAGTGTCTGCACAATGGTTTGCAGCAGCTCTTTAATTTTAGGCAAAGACCTTCTAGCTTTTCAGCCTTTAGGCCTAGGAACACAAGATATATCTGTTTAGGTTACTAGTCCAGCAATTCTATTCTCATTTATGCTGGGTGCCTGCCTTTCTAGATAGTGTCTAAAAGCACTGCACTGCTAAAAGGAGTTAAAGTGTTTGACAGTCATTTTAGGGCTTCAGGTTTGAAAAGTTTGGCCAAAGCTTACCCACAAAGTGTAGCCAGGGCCTTGCTGTCCCACTTGCACAAACACTGAAGAGAGGTAAATAATGATTTCCAAAGTGAATATCCCATGAGCAAACACTGCACTCTTACCTTCCCCTAGCTGCAGAGCAGGGTCCATAAGCTCCATCATATACTCCACATTCAGAAGGACTTCAGTCAAGTTGCTGCGGGCCAACACATACATGAGCACGGGGAGGAAGTCATCTGCACCATAGGGCTTCCCTGGGCAAAGAGAAACACAAAGTGGTCCCAATAAACTCACCACAACAGCGACCCATTCTTACCCAGCATGTCCTTTGCAGACTTTAGCTTACATTATCTGAAGAATTAAAGCTCAAAAGCTTCAGCAAAGACAAAAAGGGAAAGTTAGATCACTTAAACAGCAAATAAACTTGCTTCAAGACCAAAATATGAGCTTGCAAATTCTAGTGAGTTCCATTTCTGCCATTCTACGTTTGCTGGAGAAAGAGAAACTAAAACTCCATGGACCACAGACAAGTGGATATTTATGAAGAGTGCAAAGGCTTCCAGCTGGTCTCTCTGATTTGACACTGACATCAGGACTGTAATTCAGGTTGGCAATATTAGCAGGGAAATTGTCTATATGCAATAGAGACATTTATTCTCTTAGGCTTAATCCATGTGTGAGACCGAAAACAAAAAATAGGATTTGAGACAGTAGGTTTTGGGACTGAGGAATTCTGTGTTTATGTTCCTTCAGAAGGCAGAAGATCATGGTACATGTTCCTAATGAAAACAGTCTCCAAAGAGCAAGAATCTAAAAGGAATCATCTTTCTGGCCATGTCTAGCTAAGAAGACAAAAAACCTTTCACATTGGACTTAGACTAGCTTTTGAAATTGGTGTGCAGTAAGTGCTCAAGATTTCCTGTGCTTAAAACTTTCATATCAACAGAGTCAACAACACGATCTAATATGTAATCTGTAAGAGCTCTTTGGGATCTTTGAGGACAAAAAGGCATCCACATTAACAGTCATCATTATAAATAGCTACTGCTTAAAATAGAATCCAAACTGAGGCTTCACTGCACAAACCACAAAAAACCACAGGGATAACTTTAATTTGAAAGATGCTTTCACTTTCCACCAACCTGTCATAAATTCACCATGGAAAACTCATAATAGCAAGGTGCTTGACAGGCCTATCTCCCCAGCATTCAGAGCTGACCATTCCTCTTAACCCAATCCCAAACAGTTTTCACTCTGAAAGCTTTCATTTCTTTCCTCAGATTGTAGGTGGTTTTTCTCACCTGTGCACTTGGATATGTTGGTTTCATGGGCTACATGTGTCTCTCGAGAACTGTTTGCCTCACCTCAAAAATCAAAACTACCCATCATGTAGCTTTGATGAAATTATGCTCTAGCCATTTTTGGCCCATAGTACACATGCTCTTCCATGGTAGGGCATAAATTCCTATTTCTCAAATGTTCCCACTGACTTATTTCAAACCTTTGCCATGAGTCAGGTTTCTTTTTTTGTCTTTCATAGCTGACGCAGATTCTCCACTGGCAAAGATATTCTTCTGAAGCCTCAAATAAACATAAGCTTAGCCCTTGATTAAAAGCAAAAAAAAAAAAAAAAAGTGTGGCTTTGAAATAAACCCAGTAATATATCTAGTGAGCAGAGACTTGATCCAGTTAAAACAAAGTGTTGGAGAATGAGAGACTGTCAGGGCTGTAATTCAGTCTGTTTCTAGCAGAGCCCACACATGCCACAGCACAATTTATTTAATGACAGCTGGATTAACGCTTTCAATTCTGATTGCTTTATTATGGCTGCCTTTTGTGGAATGACACTGCCTTAGGTCTTCAACCAAACTATAAATGGACTTTATTGTTCCATTAACATCTGGATGGATATTTTGTTTGTCTGCTGTTGCCTTGGCTTATGTCTCTGTGAAAGCTTGAGCTCTGTGAGGGGTCCAATTTAATACTGTCATATATGTTACCTTAATAAAAGCAGCTCAGTATTACTGCTATTTAACATTTTCCATCAAAAAAAACCCCCAACAAGATGACACAACTGAGATATGAAAATGTAATAGAAAAACTGCACAGTGAAAAGCCATTTTTGCCTTTTGATCCAAGTAAATTGGAGGCCAACACAGTCAGTTCTGTATAAAACTAATATAAGGAAGACAAAATACCAAAGATTCATTAGGCTCATTTTTCCTTTCTTTAAAACCTTATTCTTTATGATATAATATTTACTGACCAGTGGCATGGGTACAATGATTCTGATTTCCTGAAGGACAAAGGATTTCCAGTACAACACCAATAGCAGAATTTCTCCTAATACTTCTTTTTCATGACCAATTCACCTTGTGTCTGCTAGGGCATGAAAGAAAGTTGCTACTTCACAATATAAATTCCTATCCACTGGAAAAAAAACCAGTTTGGTTTGTTTGTTTGTTGTGTCTTTTTTTTAAAATGTCACCAAAAGAAATCACCAACTAATGCAGAGTGGAAACAGCAGCTTGAAACTAAACAATTCCATGTCCTCATTCATCAACTGAAGTGAAAGTTAGAGGACAATTTTCAAGAACTCCTGCAGAATCTCTCTATTTCTTTTTTATTGGCTGAGAAGTGGTTGTATGCACAAGCAGGCACTGAGTCAATTACTTTTCATTGCTGCCTATCTCATTTCTATAAGCTGATTTAGCTGCTCCACACATCAGTCCTTTTTATAAAGTTTTCTCAACTTTAAGACTTCATAGAAATATTATTGGACTCCAAGCTGTTTATATAGCTTAAATATGAAAATCTGATATAAAGTTTCTTTTTGAATAATAAACACAGAGTAGGGATGTCTGACTGCAGTAATGGAAAGAGAACACATTTCTCCATATGCTGTATGCTCACAACCCACATAAATTACTAGACAACATCTTAATCTATTCGTGGGTATATGATGCCTTATTCTTAAATACTCATGTCTGTAGCTAAAGCTGAAGTCAGAAGGAGCAGAATGTGTCAACAAGAGACAAGCAAAACTAATCATCAAGGATCTCTGTCTCTTTTTGTTCCCACAAACTCCCAGTGTTGCCAAGGGCAGATCAGGTACGGTATATTGCATCGACTCCCTGTAGGCATTGCAATAACTTCTCTCCATTGGCTGCACAGGAAGCCAAGGACAGGTGCCTGAGAGGGCAGGACTCTGAATCTCCTCTTGCTCTCCTGGCCCTGGATGTCACAGCAAGCACAGGAACTAGCTTTGGTATGTACAGCCATCAGACCAAGCATGGCCCTGAGATGCTCTGTATCTCAGTAACTCAAGCAGGACCAGAGCAGAAGCAGGAAGCCACAAAAGTAGATGAAATAATGCCTGTGAACCAAGATACCTGAGGCTGCTATGCCCAGTGTTATGCCACCCACATGCTTGCTGTGCCATAAAAGGCACAAGGGCACTGAACAGCATCAGTCTGGAAGCTGCAGCAGGGACATTCTCTGCAGGTTGCTGCCTCCTTAGCTCCACTTTCAATCTGGGCCAAAGTCAAATTCCCAAACCTGTGCAGCTAGCTCCACCTGTAGTCTCTCACAGAGGGGTATGTTTGCAGCTGACAGAGTTAAAACTAGCTCTGACCCTGCCACTGCTCCCAGTGACACTGGCACTGAGCTTGCTTATTCAAGGTGGTGGTGTCCTACTCCACATATGACTTGCTTGATTTCCCCTTCTTCCCTGCAGGGTCAGGAAACATTTATTTCATAAATATCTCTAAGAAGCTTAAAATAAGCCTTCTCTTCTGCCACAAACTCATCCTATTATGTTTATAGGAAAGTAAATACAACGTCAGCTCCTGGCTGGGGTGCAGCACTTGAATAGATGAGTATTAATTAAATACATGATTTAAAGCAACTGGAATTCTGCCCAAGCCTCCATAAAGAAATTACAGCCTGTTTTAACACATTCATGCATTTCCTCTCCTTCTGTGTAAATTCTGAAAACCAGCAAGCAATGATGATGCCCTGCACCTTGCTCTAGTATTTTACAAACACTAGCATGATGCCCAGCAGCAGATCTCCAGGAAATATGACTTTTAGTCTCAGTTTACAACTGGGAAACCTGAGCTACAGAAAGGTTAACTGGGATTTATTCAAGATCATAAGAAAAGATTGTGACTATCCCTCCACTCACTAGCATTTTGTTGTCTCTTGTCTATCCCATACTACTTCGGCAAGGTTTGATTTATGGTAGAATTGAATTAAGGGAGTTAGTGGATGCAGACAGCATGAATCCACTTCAAAAATATATGGTTTAGAGATCAGAGGAATTTGTTTCACATGAAAAATTTGAACTGGCTCTTTGATTCAAGTGTAGAAATTGTGCTAGGTAGCAAAAAAACTATAATCTCTAGTCCATCAGTCTTCATTAATAGTAACTTAAATACAAGTATCCTCTTCCCAAAGATAACAAAGTAAAACTGTCATGTATAGCTTTATTTTCCCAGAAGTGAGACGTGTCATGTATAGCTTTATTTTCCCAGAAGTGAGACCTGATAATAAGCAGTGTGATGGGATTTCTCTGACTTAGTTTTAGGAGCTCCTAGCATGGGTCCTACACTGGCTGCTGAAGTATTTGAGGCCAGTTTCCTTCTCATAAGCTCAGCTATCCCACTAAGACACACTGCATCTTGTGCCTTTGTCAACTGCAGAGCCATATTGGAGTGCATCAGGGCAGCTAATACCTGGCTGCTCAATTCTACAGGACGTGACAAACTTCATTCTAAAAGCTAAGGAAGAGAAATATTCCAATGGAATATATCTCCTATCTATCCTCTTTTTTTTTTTTCCCCAAAACAAACTATACATTAGCCATGCAAAATTATGCAATAGAAACTATTAAATCAGATGTTTTAGGGCCAGTCACCTAGCTAATTCCAAGACTAGTACAGAATTAGTTTTGAACTATATACTCCAGCTCCCTGCACAGTTCAAAGGAAGTCCAAAAATGAAGCTTCATGATTTTAGGTAGCTCACAAGTTAAAAATGTTGCAGTGAGAGCATAGATCTTTATCCATTCTTCTTGAATCTCCTTAGAAAGCAGTCTGCCCATCCTTCAAACTTCCACCTTAAACTTAGAGCCTTTCCATACCTGATCTTTCTCACTCATGGGACTGACCAAGTTTCACCTGTTTGTCTCACAATTTTTCTTCATAAGCCTATATCTATTGCTGCTCTACTTTTGTTTTTCCACCACTTCTCTTCTGCAGAGTGGCAGCTCCTAGGCAGCAGAGGGCTGGGTGTGCCAGGCACACCACTGCCAGTACACACCATGCACATTGTAGATTTGTGTCTTATTTCTCACTTTACAGGTATCACTTGTGTTTTTGATGAAAAGCAGAGATTTTCATTCTGCTCATACCACACCATGTACCTTTAATATTTTCTCTGAGTAAAGGTATTTCGGAAAGACACATAAAAAGTGGTTTTTTTCCACATAAGATTACAGTGCTTCTGTGTAAATCATCTATGTGCCCAACTGTTCCTGTGGGTATTGTGGCATACTTTCCACATGTAGAAGTAGCATGAGCCCTGTCTCTTACTTTTTTAGTGTGTAGACAAAAAAATGTCACAGAAAATGCCAGTCGCTTTGTGGGGGGTGTCTTCCAAACTCTTCTTTTTCTATTCTTTTAATGCATATTATTCTTATTAACTATTCCTAGTATTTTTAGCAGGCAGGTTCGATATTTTTAGATTGCAGGTTACGTTTTTTGGAGGCATGGGCTGGTGTTATTTAAGTTTGCATAGTGCTTAGAAAAGCTCAATGAGACACCTCAATGGTATCATTATTGTCCCTTTGGGGAGGATTCACTTACAAGTATCACTGCCCACACAGTACATATGAGCATCTGAACCAGTGCCCCTAAATTCATTTTATAGCAAGTGATGAATATTGCCATTGGGGCTTGTCTAGAGTCATCTCACCCTAAAGCAGAAAACTACATCTAGCCTGATGAATTATCTGAACTCCACTGAGGGATTCCCCAGCGTATGTAATGAGAAGCTGGACACAATACCCATCTGTGGCCACCTATAGCTAGATGTAGCTGTAGATTAGTCTTACTTCAACTTTATCACGTAGTTGTACTCAGTGGTCTGTTGGGAGAAAGGTGTATTGACAAATACTGTGAACTTGCCTTCCTAATTCATTGTGATGAATCAGAGCCACAAGTCGATTGCCATCCACTTGATGAAGAAATGCTAGTTTAAACCAGCTGAGGACCTGGCCTATTCAGTCCTTAATCTTAAGTATCAGGGAGTTCAACCAAAGCCAATTTATCAGGCAGATTTTGTCATGTAGCATGAATTGCAGTCAAACCAAAGATCTCCTTTCTTAAAATGTTTTGACATACATGAAGTCAGTCAAGTCGGGTTTCATGACTCTTTCAGCAGTGCAAAGATGGGCACTGCCACAGGCACAGATGTTCCTGAGGAAGCCTATCCTTAGATTTAAAGAAAACTCAGTACCTCTTGGGACATCCTGGCCAAGCCTGAACTTCTGTACATGGGTCTCAAAAATGTTAAAAAACTTGTGTTTTCATATGGATCTGGGAAAACTAGGAGGGTGCTTGATTTGTTGGTATTTCTACTTTGCTTTGTGATACGCTCGAAGCATATCTCAAAGCATATATGAGCTCAGCTCATCCTATGGTCAGCCTAAAGTGAATAAAGACCTGGCCTGAGCTGACAAACTGCGAGTTAAACCAGACAGCATAAGTAGGTACCACATTTTCAAACTGATACTTTTTCTGACAGAGGTAGACTGATTTTTGGCCTGCAGGACTGGCCAAAAGCAAGAGGGGCCCTGAGCCACTGCTCTCAAGATGGCAAAGGGCAGGAAGATAATTCCTATCTGCTGAAATCTGGCCTGTGCAGCTCACAGCATGTTCTTCTGCATGCCACCAGCTGAAAGTCCCTGTCAGAGAAATATTTCAGGTTGCTGAATGCTTGTCTTTGCCAGGTGAAAATGAAAGTGCTCTGGGTTCAGTTCATTCTGTTGAAGAGGTTTCACACGTTTCACTTCTAAGTGGACTTACATGGTGTTTCACTCAATTTCTCTTCAAATCCACTGTTTTTCAGTTTGACTGTAGCATTCTTCTCCATTTAACCTCTTTTTCTGGACTGAATTCTTTGGGGTACATTTCTGTAATTGCAAGCCAGTTTTCTTCCAACCAGGCCCTGATAAGCATCACCGATATATATAAAGGAGAGGGAACTGGATGCATGGGGTGAAATCAGCTTCTGACCTACACCCCACTGTCAGTAGTACTCAACATGAGAAAACAGCAGAGCTGACTGAAATGAAGTGGCTTGGTTAGCATAGCAAACCACAATGAAATCATCTGATTATGTAGAGTTTTTTGAATTATTTCCCTAACCCCTAATTTCTGTTACATAAAATAACACAACAGCATTTCCTTCAACAAATTCCAGCCCTGAGCTAACTAAGGTGTGACACACACATAACATATAACCAGCATCAAAAGGAGACCATGTCTCCTATATGAGTTTTAATGAGGCTTGCAAGTCCTTGATCTATAGCAAATTTATTCTCAAACTTAATGCAACAGTTTTAACAAAGTTACAGCAAACTTCCCTACATGTGTCCAAAACTTCTCATAATACCTGAAGACAGTGAGAGGTCCTGTCTACCCTGCAGCTTGGGCTCAGCCCTGGGGTGGCTTCTTGCTCTGTTGTTGATGTGTCTAGTCATTGAACTTTGCTGCTAATTATCCGAGGGATGACCTTGAGGTGAGGCTCAGCAGGGACACAGCAATCCCTGTATGAGTGCTCCAAGGCTGTTGCCAGTACAAAATAAAGCAGAACAGCTAAGAGCACCAATGGAGATTGTGAGTTCTTGAACAACTGCAGATGACTGCAAATTAATACCTGGCTTATCTCCAAATTTATGCGTGGCTGGTCATGAGCTCACCAGTATACAAAAAAAAGAGTTCTTAAACTGGCAAGGCAGATTGCTGGGGGAATAGGCTTCATGGTCTTTCTGCAAAGAGGTACCCTGTCTGCAGGCCAGGGGTTTAATGTGTGCATTAGTGGTTGGCCTGACACCCATGTTTATACTCAGAGCACATCCTTTCTCACATTGAAGAAGCAATGGCCTTTGGAATTCACTGGTGCACCAGGAATTAATAACAAACAGTACTAGCATCCTGCATCTCCTCCTCAATTTAGGCACAACTCTGTAGAGGCCAAACCAAGAATCTTTTCCCAACGACCCATTCCTAGAGTTTACCATTACTCTGCTACAAGCTGGGACAGAGCCCAGAGGATATACGGAGAGTTATGTGAAGACGTGTTGGAAAACGACATTACCCATAAAACACACACTTAAAGGCACCTGGTGTTTGGAGCTATGAAGCTTGAAGTTAATCAGGTAACATCTTATACATGTTATTAGTGCAGAGATCTCCACAGTTATTAACCATCCCATTCTGAATACAACCACTCTGTCCCATCCTGTGAACAGCTGACATCAAGCACATCAACTTCCACTGCTAACCTCCAATGTGAATATTGCCACACCAACTGTATCATAAACCCTGTTCCTTTGGTATATGGAGAAGAACCCGTGAGAGATACCATTGCAGTAGGAGTGCTGTACCTGGGTTTCCCTGAGACATGGAGTCATAGATGAGTTTGCAGGACTTCAGCAAGATGGCAATCTTCTTTTCTGGGGAGTAGGTCTTGTGCATGGTTGTGAACTTGTGAATGATCTTTTCCAGCACAACAGTTTCAGGCACACTGGTCGTGATGCCTAGGTCAGTGGTAGTTGTGTTTTGGATCACGAGTTGGTTCTCTTTCAGCTGCTGTAAAGAACCATCTTTGTTGTGTATTTCTTTCAAGTGAGAATTAATGGCTTCCTTTAAAGGTTTCAGGACACATTTGTACAAAGCTGTCTCAGCAATCACTTCTGCATGGAGAAGGGAGAACACGAAAGTGTGTAAGAAATAATCAACACAGTAGTACAGGTGCAAGTAAAACTCCAAAGGAAGCATGTGGTTGGTTATTCAAGCACTACTGCATAGTATGAAGAGGGAACAGAAATTACATCCCAGAAAGTAAACATTTAATTGCCAACACCCTCCAGAAGTCCTAGGCAAGCTTGATATGAACATCAATGCATGACCTCTGCCACTGGAGCTGTAGGAGACCTTCTGCTACCAGCAGTCCCTGCTCTCTTTGCCTGACTCCTGGCTGACCAGCATGGCACTCAGGCAGCAAGAAAGCCAACTCTGGGGAGAGATAAGAAACCTCACCCAAACTGTGCTTCTTTTCACAGCTCTGCCCTCACAGATGCCCAGGGCAGTAACATTCACATATACAAAATGCAACTATTTTAAAGAATCCAGAGAACCAATCAGCCTGAAGCCCAACAAATTCAAGAGGTAAATTTTCCACAGTGGGAATCCCTGTCCTCTGTAGGAGAAGACAGTCCTCCCAAGACTGACTGGGCCATATCATCTTGTTAAGGAACAGTCAGTGAAAAGGACTAGATCCAACCAGCCATGTCTGTGAGAAGGTGTTGAGACCCTTGCACAAATGCAGGCCTAGCAAGCTGAACAAGGACACTTCTTTCAGATTCCTTTCCACCTTGACTAATCAAGATTCCAGACAAATTTCTCTGTGCTGACCCCTCTGCCCCAAAGAAAGATTATTGGGACAAAAATCACAGGTGTTACATAAGGTGCATGAGAAGTGAAACTGGAGGTCCCCTCTCCTGGCTATGGCAAGGGACTGGCAGCAGGTCTGTACTGCTGGGGAGTCTGCAGGGTCACATGAATCCTTTGCTGGGTGAAAAAATACCAGCAGGGCCTGCTGAGGCTGGCAGCAGCCTGCCTCTCAGCCCTGGCTCATCACTTAGCTGGGTCCCACCTAATGCTGGAGACGCTGTGGTTGGCCATGTATGTTCTGGCAGCTCCCAAGTTGCTTTAAGGTATCTTAGGAATCCATAAACAGCTCTGCATTGGTTCTCAGGTCCCCAAGAAAGAGTTTTAAGCTTTCAGAAGAGTACATGAGTGCATGCATGCATGCTCTTTCTGGCTGAACTTCTTTGACTGGGATAAAAAATCCTATAGCTCTCTGTATATTCCCCCATGAATGTACATTAAACAGACCAGTCCAATCATGAGCTAGGAGGGAAGTATCACATTACTCCCTCAGAGGATATGAATAACAAGCAACGAAACACCTGCAAACAGTTAAAAATATTATTTTTTACTCCCCAAAGACAAGTTATGTCTGTGGCAAAGAGGTAAATGCTGCATTTTGGAGCCAGCAGTAGTCTTGCAGCAGGCAGCTCTTCTGCACCTCTGAGCTGTGAGGAGCACAGAGTGGAATCAAGTGATTCCTTCAACCTGCCACTCAAAATCTTCATAGTCGTGTCCCTCCCTGTGAGACAGGGACCGACCCCTGGTCTGTCTGCCACATGCAGGGAGTTCTCCATCCTCACAGCAGAGCAGTGTATGTGGAAGACCATGGGGAAATGCAGCTGTGGAGGGGGAAGTTGACCTTTTCTGTTTCCAGTGAATGCAGCTCTGTGTGCATGGCCATGTGCATACATCTCTGTATACACCCACAGAGACTCATACTTGTATGAGTTTGCATGCATATGCACATATATACACATACATGTCCTTCTCACACACACAAACACACATCTCTCCTGCCTAAACTCTTCCCATTAAATCATTCATAACCCTCAATGGTCTCCAGATTCTAGAGCTGTTCCTCCCAGAGCTGGCAACCACAAAGTAGACTTCAATTCACACCCCTCAGCTTTTAGGAGATGGTTTATAATTCTCCAAAGCAGAACCTGTGTCTGCATAATCCTCTCTTCCTCCTCCCCTTCCCAAATCATTCCCAAGGATAAATAAACCACAGTCACCTACCTAATTGTTCCTCGGTGTAGGAGGCTGGGTCTATTAGAGATTTCAACTCAGTGCTCTGCACCAAGTAACTCTTCAGCTGCGTCATCATCAACCGGATTTCTTGCAGCATCTCCGTGCTGGAGCTCTGCTTTCCCATCATTTCTAAACTGTACACTCTGTAGTCCTGCACCAGATTGCCAAAGTACGAATCCTTGTCCTGTGCCAGCTCCACTATCTTCTTTTGCAGCTTCCTGTCACTAGACAAAAAGACGGTGAAGACGTTGGACAGGCTCACAAAGGACAGCCTGTTCTTAGCCTTGCCCAAGATCACAGAGCGTGTCTTTTTACCGGATGGACTACTCAGCACCTCCAGGTCATCCTCTGTGCTGCTGGTGGAGTAGGAGTCTGGCTCAGACGCTGATGCCTGAGCCGTGGCACTGCCTCCTGGGCCCTCCAGGGACAAGTGGGAACCTTTCAGTTCTGCTGAGCTGATGGACTTGCGGCCATGTCCCGGTTCAGTTTTGGTGTGCGTGCAAGTGGCACCACCTGAAACTGCAGCTGGGCTGTCCTTGCACACAGCCTGTGCTGTGGCAATGGCTGTGTCTGCCTCTGCTCTTTGCGTGGACTGGCAGGAGTTGAGGATCCTCGGTACCTGGGAAATCCTTTTCCTTCTTGGTGGTGGGACAGGAGGTGATTTTCCTTTCTCAATGGCATTGATCTGTATCTCAGGCATGTTCTGCTTCTTCTCTGCAGGTTCAGGCTTTGTCTCCATTAACCATGATACAGTCCGTTCAGGAACCTCCCCAGGCATTTCTACAGTGTTTTTGCACAGCAGCTTTTTATCTCTGCTCTCTGTACTTGTGTCTTGTTTTTCTTCTGTCTGTTCCCCTTTCAGCGTTTCACAACTTCCAGGCTTCCCCACACAGCTCTCCTCTGAGGTCTTCTCACTCAGCCGCCTCCGTGGGGGGACAGAGGGCTGTGAGCCCTTCCAGGGGCTCACTGCTGAGGGCTCATTGACGGAGCAGCTCTGCTTCCTTTCTTCTTTATTGTCACCGCCCTCAATTTTCATTTCCTCGATGCTCTTTCCTAGTGGCTTAAGAAGCAGCTTGTTTTCTTCACAGGCAGCCATGGGATCCTGCGGGAGCTTCAGGGAAGATCTCTGAACAGGAGGGTGTGAAGGTGGAGGTGGAGGGGGCCGGCGGGGAGACCTCCTCTCAGTGGGCATGGTGGCAGAGGGCAGATCGACACCAGCACCATGGCTTTTAGGAGGAGGTACATCTGGAGGAAAAGGATTACTGCACTCTTCTATAAAAATAGGATTCACGAACCACAGCCTGTCATTTCCTATTGACAGCTCAATTTCACATGAGCAGTGGTTTGTGCTACTTGCAAAACACTGGGTAGATCTTAAAGTGTCTGCTGGGGCAGTGCTGAAAGCAGAGTCTTTTGCAGGGTGGGATAACTCTGCTCTTCTTCTGTGGTTTAGGTAGGAATCCCAGAAATCTGTCAGCAAAAAAAAATGAAAAAAATGCTCTGAGGGAATTTTGGCTCCTAATGATTTGTAGAAGATCTACTTTTTGTTAAATGGTACACAAGCTTTCACACCTCTGCACAAACCAGTATGAAGAAAGGGTTGCCCATTCTATGTGTGTGAGATGCTTCAAACCAGAGGATAAGCTCAGAAGCTTCACCAGAATCCTCACTCCTGTCAATTTTAGGATGCATCTAGTGGAAACGGTTAATGCTGTTCAGCATTTTCAGTGGGAGCAAAAAGGCACAAGTAATAAATACAAATGATTGTGAAAAGGGATCTATGGCTTGTTCAGTGATCACTGCCCTCCAAATGCAAATAGCTGTGGATGCCTGAGGTGAGGATGTGGAGATGCCAGGTGAGATCTGTCCTCCCATCTTGCTCACCATGGGAAGGTGCAGGTCTGGGATATACAGCCTGGATCCACCATGCACTGGGAGTACAACAGATGAAGATGACTCTACTGTGCAGTGAGCTCATGATGGCAGAGTCTGGTTTACACAGATGTCTGATCCTGCTTTGCAGTACAACCAGTCCAGAAACATAGGATTTTAGACACCTTCCCCTGACTAAAATTACCATTAAAGTCTATATCACAGGATTGTGATTATCCATAACAATGCCCACTCTCTTTGGCACATTGTCTGCAGGTAGCAAAGAGGAAAGACGGTGCAAAAGACTGTACACAGGAAGGATGCATGATGGAGGACTAAAGAATAGTTAAGTACTTTAGTGCCATCAACTTAGACTGGAAAAGGAAGATGGTGTTTCAGATGCAAGCAGTCATTTCTGTATGTCAGAAATCTCTTGTTAGAATTTGTCTTTGAATAACAGTTTTAAAAATAAATTATGAAGTATTTGTACATCTTCTGAATAGATTCAGTGTCACATTTAACCTTTTTCCCTTCCCAAGGGGTGAGGTTTCAAATCTTCATGCCTTACCAGTCTGATTGCCTTTCATCACTCTTAAAGCTGCTAATCTGTGGTCCACTACTGGAAGCATCAGGAAACAGGATCCAAGAAATCAAATGTGTTCTGACCAAGGAAAAGGGTATAAAGCTCTGAGGGTATTCATTGAGTGAGGACTGTATAGATGCTTACAGATTTAGGGACAAGAGAAAGATGGGAAGCCCTGGAAACACAAGGATGCAGACAATGAAATAGCTATTTCAGCATACTTGGTCCCTGGACACAGAGCTGACACTGTTACCACATTCTTCTGGGTGGATTTACAGGGGTCACAAAGGAGATTGCCACACAGTGCCTGGACCCTGCCCTGTGCTTGGGGTCAGAACTGTCTCACTGCAAAAACCTCACGTGCTGGGCCCAAGAGGGGATGGATGGGGCTGCACACACGTGGGATGACCCTCAGTGCTGAGCACTGGCTACAGCTCTGAAGTTGATGCCTTCTGCCGTGCCTTGCCAGGACCCTGTTCTCCTGGACAAGATCTGCCTGTGCCTCTTCCTAAAAGTCAGCACCCCAGAAAACCTCAAAGGGACATCCACTCAGGAAGGTCATAGCAGAATTCAAAACAGAGCAAAGAAACTCTTCAGCTAAAGCCAACTCAGAGCTTGGGGTTGAAACACATTCAGAAGAAATCTCTCCCTTGCTCACTGCATCCCAAAAGACAGGCCACTTCTTCCCGTTTTGCTCTGTGGTGCAGCCATGGCTTTTGATGGCTGCCTGCCTCAAGTCAGCTCCAGGCCTTTGCTGGAAAAGCCATCTTCTGTCTTCTGCCACTGCAAACTCCCTTCTGCAGGACTCTGCCTTCCCTCCCATGGTGCCCTGAGCCCACTGTTGGCTTTGCCTCCCTCTGCCAGAAACTTGGTCCCTTGGGCCACAGCCAGCTGTCCCAGGGACAGAGACTTTCCTCACCTGCAGCAGGTGCAAGGGCTGCAGGCAAGGCAGGACAGGCAAGCTGACTCCTCAGTGCCCCTCTGCTCCCTCTAACCAAGCACTTCTATAACACAGGCACCGAGTAAGCCAGATGAATTAAAAGAGTCCGTTCCCATCAGGATAAAATTGCTGATTTAGCCTCTCACAGCCTAGGCTTGTGTCCTCGGCTAATTCAGCTTTATAAGCATGTCAGTGTGTTTTCTTAAGGTGGCTGACATTAGAACAGCTTTATTCTCTGACTTCTTACTGTGAGAGGGAGGAGAACAAAGAAGCTTAAAATAAAAGTGTTGCCAGGAACAACAGCACTCTTGAGAACAGAATTCCGGAATAGACATGCAGATGCAACTGCACATGTTAGCATCATGCTGCCAACCCCCTCCTGTCTGAGACTGTCTGGGGGACCATTTCCTTTAAATGCTCCCACTCTACTGGGTATCAGCAAATGTAGGAGAGTAGAAGTACTTGTCTAATATAGTGCAGAATACAATGCTGCAAAGCCTCATGGGCTGAGGAAATGGTGAGTAAACCAATCTACAAAAGGGAAGTTGGTTATTTTTCTCAGTAGTGGGTCAGGATAAGACACTGTGATGAAAATGCAATGTTCCGCTCAGACTGTAAAGGATAAGAAGAGGGTGTCCTACCAAGGGTTACACAACTGCTTCAGAGAGGGTGGTCCCAGCACAGCCACACTATTTCATACAGCAGGAAAGGCCATTTTGATTGCCTCCCATTGCTGTGCTGACTCTTCCCTTAGCTGCACTCTGGGAGGGATAATTAAGCAGTTCTTTGAGTCTTTGGCATGTCTGTGATGGTATGTGCTCTTTGTGCAGTGAAATCACACTAATTCTCCTGCTAAAATGCTTTATGTACCAGTGAGGTCAGCACTAGAGGACCCACAGTACTTGCTCTTTGACAATATACAGAATAGCCAGATCCTTTGTAGAATAATTCAGCTTGCACATAGACATCTTACTTCTATCCCCTTGAAACACACATCACTTTGAAAGAAATAAAAAACAACATATGGGAATTTCAGATGATGCTATCTTTCCTTCAGGAGTGCCACTTCAGGCAGCACTTATTGTTTGTGTACCCATTTGTACTCACAAAATTTTGTTCCAGAAAGCAGTAAACAGCATCACTCAGTAGTTCAGCCTGTTTTACTTTACTAAGACACCATGGCACTCCAGGAAGCTAGAATCATTTCCTAGGAAGACCTTACGAAACAGCAGGTTTTCTTCCATTGCCAGAAACATGACAAACCTCCAAGCATCACCACTTTTATGGCCACCAGTACAGGAAAGAAGGAAAAAGACTACAACCAACATTGCTTTAGTGCTTGTGCTTTAATTAATCCTTCCTTTCAGAAGCTGCTGGAAACTGTTGCCTGAATCATCATATCCTCTGCTGGCTCAAATTAGACTGAAGGTTACAGAATTATGATACACTTCCTACATTTCAATCCAAGTTTTAAGACTTGTTATAATAAAATTAAGTTTGCAACTTATCTCAAATTGCAAAGTACCTTTTTATATAAGCAATAAGTGATGGCTGAACACCCATACTGAAAGATATTTTGATAAATTGTAGCATACTCAAAAGAGAGGATGCTGAAAGTGTTGGAGGCAAACCTGATGGTCAAATTCAATGAAACTGCCTGAACTGAAACCAGTGGGGTTTGCCCATGCCTTCTGGGAGGTATGATGCAGAAGATCCAAAAATAGATCCCTAAAGGCTGAGGGTGCTTTAGTGTGTATTTCTAAGTGAGCTAACTCTTTAACTTCCTTCATTATTTGGCTGTTTTCAACACCAAAGGGAAAACTGAGAAGCCAAGTAGCATGAGAGGGGCTAACTGTAATAGCTGTCTCAAATGGAGTGTGTTAAATAGAAAGGAATGGGAAGGAGACCTCCTTTAGGTAACAGAACTGCTTTTCCCATCTCTGTAACTTCATACATCTGATCTAAAATTTTCTTGTTTGGTGCTGTCACTAAAAATAATGTTCCTTTTTGTATCTGATTAGTACGAGAGAGAACATGCTGGGACGATACACATTTCTCTACCAATTAGAAATCCTGCAAGAGGAAGCAGGAATATCAAAATTCAGAAATATCACACTCCCATCAGCATTGCCCCCAGACATCAGAAGGGGAAATTGCAAAGGTGTTTTCCTGTACTCATACAGCTCAGATGCCAGCTTTCAGTGTGTCAGCTGTCCTGAGAGGCTGTGCCAGGCTTTAGCTGTTGAAAGCCCTGGCTACACAGTGAGAATGTAGGTCCCACACCCTGCACAGAAGTCCAAGTGGAGGTTTATGTCCAAAGGTGCAAGTGGCCTTTTTTTTCAGTGTCCTTCTATGAACACAAGAATCATAAACATCTTCCTCTTGCATTCAGGCCTCTTCAGCTATTCCAAAGGCACTAGTTCATCTCTCCTCCAGTTGCATTATGCCTGTGCAAGGAGCCATGGTTCTCAGAAGTCTGAGTGAATCTCTGGCTGCTTTGAGAGACTTACCTATCCCCAGACTTGAGATAATTTCAAGGTCTTGAAAGCTTCTGGCTTCTAATATTGCTTGTGGCAGCTTGAGGGTGAAGGGCAGCAAATCCCTGTAAAAAGAAACACAATGAAAAACCAGCAAAAGAACAAACCCCATACTTGCTAGGAATACCAGATTTCACTTGATTTTAGTGATTGGACTGGCTCACAATTTCAGCCTTGTTCTGCAAAGTCCTGGCCAATAAGACATCATGAACATTCTGCCAGCCTGGGTTGCTCTGATTTCACAAGAGATCATCAGCTTCTCTGGTGATGCTTCATGCCATGCCACTGACTTAATCACTGTGTCTTGGCTTCGTCCTCTGAAAACAGCAGAAATGCCTCTCACCTCAGGGAAGGCCACAGGGGTTGAAATACCTTCCAATACAGTGTTGTGAATTGTAGTTAATGTAATTAGAAAAGCCAGTCTTTTTGGTGTGGAAAGGATTTGAAGTCCTTTTTCTTCCTGTTTACTCCTCTCTCCCCACTCTGCTTCCTCTTTTAAAAATCTGTAGAACGGTAAGGCACAGGGTCAGGGCAAGACACAGAGGGTTTAGGGAAGGAAAACACCTTCTGGGAAAGGGTAGCCCCTGAGTGAAGGGACAGACAGTGATGAAGTGCTGCATGATGCTGAGAAAACACATACATGCTTCTACTATCCACTCTTAGGCTTCTGAGTGCTTGATTTCTGGACAGGTGCTCTATTTTTACTAAAAAAAGATACAGCTTCTCAGAGGATATTAGTTGGGTTGCACTGAAATACACCATAAGTCTCAAATAATTTAATGGAGCTCTTGGGCTGGCTGTGAACTGTTCAGGTTTGCCTCTTGCCCAATGACAATTTGCTAAACCTGTTCTTCAATTCCCATCCTCACAAGGACTAGAAAAGCCAAACCCTAAAACACAGCAGGGAATGGTGCAGGATCATTTTACACATTATAAACTTCCATAAAAAGGTTCTACAAGATGCAAGAAATGATTATACAAAAAGCTGGCCTTGTGAGTAAGTGGTCTCCGCTACACTAAAGTACCCCCCAAAAATGTATGTGAATGCAGACCTGGGGATGTCTGACCTGTAGACAAATGAATGCAGGGGACCTGTTTTTGTCCTTCCTAACAGATACATACCTGACTGAGGTACTGTGTACTCTGTGGATTCTCTGTGCACATTGTTTGACACAAACTGATGTGATCTCTGGCTTAGTATTTTTTCATGGCAGATATCATGCTTAAAAGAGGAAGAGGTTCATGGAACTTCTACTTTCTTTGTTTGCTATTTTTATATGCCTAACTAGCTTCCTTTAATTTATTATTTTTGGTAGAAGACTGCATCTAAGACTATTTACTACATCCCTGAGAACAGGCCTTTCTACTCACCATCACAGAGAACTCCTACAAGTTGCCAGCAAACAGTAGGTTGGTGCTTTTTTAATACCTGCTTCTCTCAGAAAATTATTCCCTTTTAATCTTATCTTTTGACAGCAACCTGGGAAATCACATGAACCATCTGGATGTGTATTTGACATTCAGAAATGACATGTATAACAGGAACTAACAGGAGAACATGTTTTCTTTCTCAGACTCCTTAAGCCATAATCTGTTTTGCAGGAAAGCAGAGCATATTTTCCCTCTCACCACCAATTTGACTAGAAACGCCCAGCTCTTTTTTGCATCTGGGTTCTTCTTTGCTTTGGTAAGACAGAAATCTTTATATAGGCCCAGGGGAACATTTATGCCCATACTATAGGGTCTACACATATGTAGATGGCTAAATGTCTTTTAAGTGATGAGGGTGAGACAGAGCATGGTCTCTTGACTGTGGGTAGGAGTTCAGCATGCTGAACTCAGTTGGCTGCAGAAGCAGCCACAAATAGTGTGGCCGTGACTGTCTGGGTAAGCTGCAGTACACTGTATCATGCTGTAGATAGACTGTGCCTACTATGTGACCTAACCAAGTGACTAACACGACTGCCTTGTAAACATATCCTGAATCTGCTTTCTCCTCTTAAAAGGAAATAAATTCTGTAAGAGTTATCTAAGTTTATGTAGGGGAGGTCAAAACTCTACATCCAACTCTAAACCAGGCCTGCTGCAGTAGGGATGGGGTAAGTAGGTTGAGCACTGCAGTGTGCTCAGCACAAGCACAAGGAGGCTGCAGACACATGGGTTTAATTACACAGAGGGACTTATCAGCTGCTGATCAAACCTTGCTCTAATGAAAACGACCTACCAGGTCTTTCCCATCTCTGTGCCCACTATGTTTGGTATTTCTGTGCTGAGCAAACAAACTTATTTTATTTTTAAATTTTGGCTAAAAATCATAAATTGTGTCAGGACTACTCTCCTTGACAGATTCCCCATAGGTGACAAGTCTCTGAGTCTCCTGCAGGCAACAGTCCACTAGTAGGTTTGCCAAGTCACTACCAGATGTGTGTTGATGCTTAAAGCTACCTTGCATAAATGGTTAATTTGAGATCCTTTTTCCTCCCTGCCCTCCTAGCCCCACTTTTGAGCTTCTGTCCTTTGTGGGTGCAGCCCACAAAGATGGACCTTCTTCAGACAAAGCTTTCAGGCACAGGGACAGCTGTGCTTATGGTGTGCCTGGCTAGCACTGGCTGATCTGAATCATCTATGAAAAGTCATGGAGATTGGGAGAGGTACCCGAAGACTGGAAGATGGCAAATGTCACCCCAATCTTTAAAAAGGGCCAGAAGGAAGACCCAGGGAACTGCTGTCCAATCAGTCTCACCTCAGTCTCTGGAGAGGTAGTGGAATGCCTCATTCTGGAGGCCATCTCTGCCCACATGGAAAACAAGAAGGTGATCAGGAGTAGTCAGCATGGGTTCACTAAAGGTAAGTCATGTTTGACCAACCTGACTGCTTTCTAAGGTGAAACAACTGCCTGGATGGATGAAGGAGAGCAGTGGACATTGTCTACATTGTTGTCAGCAAGGCTTTCAACACAGCATCTTCATAGGCAAACTTAAGAACTGTGGGTTGGACAAATTAACAGTGAGGTTGATTGAGAGCTGGCTGAGCAGCAGATCCCAGAGAGCTGTGATCAGTGGCACAGAGTCTAGCTGGAGCCCTGACACTACTGGTGTCTCCCAGAGTTCCATACTGGGCCCAGTGTTGTACGATTTATTCATCAGTGACTTGGATGAGGGGACAGAGTTGCCTTCTCAGCAAGTTTGCTGATTATACTAAACTGGGAGGAGTGATACCTCATAGGGCTTTGCTGCCCTTCAGAGGGACCTCGACAGGTTGGAGAGATGGACAGAGAAGACCCAACTGAAATTCAACAAGGGTAAATGCAGGTCCTGCTCCTGAGGAGGAATAACCCCAAGCACCAGTACAGGTTGGGCACTGACCTGCTGGAGAGCAGCTCTGCAGAAAAAGACCTGGGGGTCCTGGTGGACAACAAGCTGTCCATGAGCCAACAGTGTGTCCTTGTGGCTTACAAGGCCAATGTAATCCTGGGATGCTTTAGGAAAAGTATTACCAACATGTCGAGGGAGGTGATCCTGCCTCTCTACTCAGCCCTCATGAGGCCACACCTGGAGAATTGTGTCCAGTTCTGGGCTCCTCAGGACAAGAGGGACATGGAGCTCCTGGAGCAGGTCCAGCAAAGGGCAACAAAGACAATTAAGGGATTGGAGCACCTCACTGCTGAGGAAAGGCTGAGGGAGCTGGGCCTGTTCAGTGTTGAGAAGAGACGACTGAGAGGGGATCTCATTAATGTATGCAAGTATCTAAAGGGAGGTTGTCAAGATAATGGAGTCAGGCAAAAACTGATGCACAGAAAGTTCCATCTGAATATGAGGAAGAACTTCTTTACTATGCAGTCACTGAGCACTGAACAGATTGCCCAGAGAGGTCATGGATTCTCCCTCACTGGAGATATTCAAGAACTGTCTGGACACAGTCCTGTGTCATGTGCTCTAGGGTGGCTCTGATGGAGATGGAAGGTTGAACTAGATGACCCACTGTGGTCCCTTTCAGCCTAACTAATTCTGTGATCTGGCCCCATTGTACATACTAGCATCTGAAGTATCTCCTGGTCTGACCTGTTAGAAGAAACCAAAGAAAACAGTGGGGTCTGTGCTGTGACTAAATACTGGGGAAGGGCAGTCCAGAGTGGAGAGTAAAGTGATTGCACCATGGAAGCAATGAATCCAACTCACCTACTGACACAGTAGAAGGCAACCAGTTTGAAGACATCCTCAAATACAAGGACAGATCCTTCCAGGTACAGGACTGGTGAAAAACAGAAAAAAAAGTCAGCAACTGTTTTCTTTGAACTGTATGGCAAAAAGCTGGTGGGTTTGGCTCACACATCTTGTATTCTGTGACTGTCTAGTATTTGCATGGACTAATTTGAAATAGCATAAAGAACTGGCTTCAGATGGCCAGATGTGATAAGATTCCTCAGTGAGACACTAGAGAAGAAATGTATTAGCCTGACTTTCAGAATAGCTAGCTCAAGGTATCAGAGTGTTGTGACACTAATAGAAACAATGGGAAGAAAAAATCCCCAGGTCACAGCCAAAGGGTTTGCTACAAACCCATCTGTCTCTAAGGATGTGCATATCTGCAATACATGTGGGGCTGACCTTGTGACTCTCCATGCTGGAATCTGGTTTGGTCTGGATGGACAAAATGCTCTGAAGTTAAAAAAAAATAAAAATTACTGTTTCATTACTATGTGTGTGGGCTCTGACCTGGGTCATGCAGGCAGTGTGAGCACAGCCTATTTGTATCTCTTCCATCTTCTCCCTCCCTGTGTGTTGTTCAGTGACTGCACTCTCCTTTAAGTGGCAAAATGCAATTTACACCACATTGCAGAGTTCTTCAAGATGACCTCCTTTATAACAGCATGTTATGGCATTGTGTAACCCAAATATCACATATAATTTATAGAGATTTTTGTTGTCAAGCTAGAAAAAATTCATTGGTTGGTGGAGAAATTTTCACATTGACTGATAACCCATGTCAGAGAGAAAGACTTGGATCTGCAGGAGAGGCATGTCCATCTTTGCTTCAGCTTTATAGTCACACAAACTGTCTATGCCTATTTGTGCACACAAACAGATATTGACAAGGTTAAGGAGATCTGTGGTGGATTCTCAGAAATACCTTGCTGGTGGTAAAGAACTGGAGCTCTAGACCTGCACCGTTCATGCTGCAGGATCATGCCAGGGGTACCTGGGGAGCAGCTCCAGCTCACACGCCCATGGCAGTGCCCACAGATGCTATGATTCTTCCTTCACACTGTTCTCTAGGCCACAGTTCAGAGCTTTGGACATGAAGCTCAGCTACAGTGATTCAGCTTCCTCAGTCAGCCATGAGTCACAGCCCAATGAAATGTCTCCAGCTCCTTGCCACGCTTGCCTGGTTGTTAGTCCCCAAAATAGCAGGTTCTCCAGCACCTGCAGGAGGGAGACATCTGCCTGCCTCTTCTCTCTCTCACCTTTGTGCACTTGCTCTTGTTCTAGCCAGCAGATAATCCCACTGGAAGGAAATGTTCAAGACCGTCTCCTGTTCAGCTTCATAGCTCATTCCCCAAACAAGGCATTTCCTCCTTTTACTTCTCCCTTTGTCCTAGCACAGGCCCAGCAGGTTGCTATTTTAGGCTGAATACACCAATGTAGGCAAGTTTTAAAGAGGCAAAGGCCATCTAATTCTCAGAAGTCTATCCTAACATCAATTTGTGTTGAATAAGCACGAACAGATTAACCTCAGTGTATGCACCAATACCAGACTGGAATGTGGAATTAAAAACTAATTTAATACTTCAAGCAAAACAATCCCTTTCCCTTACTTTTCTCTCACAACTGGAAAACTCATGTTTGGCAATTTTTTTTCTTTTTCCATAATAAGAATCGTGTTTCAGTCAGGGATTTTCATTAAACATCTACCATGAGCAATTGCTGTAGTTAGAAACCCATCTGCTTTGCAGCTCTGACACAGGAAACAAAAATAAAGACAAAACCATGTCCTGTTCTAGAGAATGAACCAAAACCCAAGAGTCTGAACTCACTGGAATCTCCAGGAATAAAATAAAGCCCTTTGCACAGATGACAGTTTTAAGGACATTTTTTCTGTTAAGGACCACATGTTCATTTTGGCATCCTGAGTTGCAGGTGTCTGTAAGAAAACAGGCCACACCTGTACATGAGCAAATCACTTGGATTGGGACTATTGTTTGTTTCTGTGCCAGGAAGCTTTGCCATTTGGGAGCTTGAATGTTAGACAAAGAAGTATTAGTCTGAGCCCCACTGTGTCAGGAGTATCCACATACAAGTGTACAACAGAAAGCTTTGCTGACTGTTGGGGACAATATCTCTCTGTCCCAGTGCCATTACTGCCCTCAAGGCACCCTGCTCTGGGAAGACAGTCAGGAAGAGGTACTTTTCTCTGGCTGTGGATGTGTTGTGGGTAGCTGGGGACATTTCACTGACATGAGCACTGCTGCTCAGGGAGGGATCATGATGTTGCCATTTATAGGAACTCATGACTTTTGCAGAATCTCGACACAGACATCTGCCAGACTGCTGTAATCC